GCCATCAAGTCATTCATCTCATTCACAACAGTATTATCATAATCATCGTCGTAGTCGTCATAATCAGAATCCGCCATCAGGTCATGTAACTCATTCACAACAGTATCATCATCGTCGTCGTCATCATCAGAATCCGCCATCAGGTCATGTAACTCATTCACAACAGTATCATCATCGTCGTCATCGTCATCATCAGAATGCGCCATCAAGTCATTCATCTCATTCACAACAGTATTATCTTCATCATCGTCGTAGTCGTCATCATCAGTATCCGCCATCAGGTCATGTAACTCATTCACAACAGTATCATCATCGTCGTCGTCGTCATCATCAGAATCCGCCATCAGGTCAAGCACCTCATTCACAACAGTATCATCATCGTCGTCGTCGTCATCATCAGAATCCGCCATCAAGTCGTGTACCTCATTCTCAATAGTATCATCATCGTCGTCGTCATCATCAGAATGGGCCATCAAGTCGTGAAACTCATTTACAACAGTATCATCATCGTCGTCATCGTTATTATCAGAATCCGCCATCAAGTCATGCAATTCATTCACAACAGTATCATCATCGTCGTCGTCGTCATCATCAGAATCCGACATCAGGTCATGTAACTCATTCGCAACAGTATTATCATCGTCGTAGTCGTCATCATCATAATCCGACATCAAGTCGTGCAACTCATTCACAACAGTATCATCATCGTCGTCGTCGTCATCATCAGAATCCGCCATCAGGTCATGTAACTCATTCACAACAGTATCATTATCGTCGTCATCGTCATCATCAGAATCCGCCATCAAGTCGTGCAACTCATTCACAACAGTATCATCATCGTCGTCGTCATCATCAGAATCGTGTAGGTTGGACGCATTTCGTCTTCGATGTCGTTTAATTTCTGTGTTCCGTAGAAGTCGTTTGTTCAATGATCGAAAATTGGTAGAAGTTATAGCTGCACGTCTTGATGAAGCAATATGACAAGATGGTATCCTCGAATGTACAGCATTGTCGTTGTAGAATGAGTGGACACCACCAACAACAACAACATCATCATCATCATCATCATAATAATAGATACCGAAGGAATAAAAGTTGGTTAAGTTGGAGAGGTTCTGATTGCGACGGCTCTGATGGCGGTCATTCATCCTATTGCTGGCCATAGCAATTCAAATATGTGCCACAACCTATATCAATTAACATGGGTCAACTTAAACAACAGCGTCGTAATTGAGTAATTTCAACAGATAACGGCTTTTATTTGCCTGTAATAATTAATGAATATATTTTTGTATGAAAAATTTTAAATAAAAAAATTTATAATACTTTAGCAAATATTTTTGTTTGATTTATTGCAAATTTTCACAAATGAAGTTTTATTTTCTACTGTACCTGCACTAACTTTTCGTCTCTTCTGTATTCGTTCAATAAATTGTAACTGATTATCTCTTTAAATTATTTTTAATGGTAAATTATTGCCGTTTTTTAAAATAATATTTGTTGATTTGCATATATTGCAAATATGGTGAAAACTGTTGGATCACAATTTTAAGATTTCTGAATCAGAATCCTATGGACCAATCAGAGACCAGAGACAGGAAGACCATTTAACAGCAAAATCAAGTACATACTTGTCATGAGAGATTGTGTGGGTTGTGACTAAGTTCCTCCTCTGTACTTCTGGACTATCCATTGGAGCCCTTCCAAATATTGGAGAATCGGCAATGGAGATGACTGAGTATAGTCAATGCTCATTAGTGCAAACATTCCCCACTATTCCGACATAGTGTTCTCAGTACGTCTTTGTTATACAATTACACTCAATTTCTTCCTTTTTCGAAATATTTCACATAATAATACTTTCCTCAATTATTGCTTTATTTCATTAAACATCTCTGATTTGAACATGTGAATCACAACTAGGTTGAAATAGCTTCACATTGTTTGGAATTAAAGATCTCAAGTAATAGTGATTGAATTGTTAAGGGATGCTTCACTAGGGCTGACAAAAATCTCATTCTTCGACGTGGTGTGAGGTGGACTTGTTACATTCAGGTGATCGGTCCATCCACTTTGCGACAACTTGATATTTCACCTTTGGAATTGAGTAAAACCCCTCCATTAGCACTCGCGACTCTACTCTAATATGACGTGATAATGAATTGCATCAAAAATTAAAACTGCAATTGAGAAACACTTACATCATTTAAATTCAATAAGCCAAGGAAGTACATGTTCCTACACAGCGTAAGAGTGTCAATAATTGCTTTCATTTTTATGGAAAAACTCATAGCCTCATGATTGCATGTTTTTCCGATAAAATCTTATATTATTCATTGTTGAATGTCTTAATAAGTGAATTTTGGTTTGTGTGTGATTGTGAAAAAATTTGAATAAGTTGTTTCTTTTATTCAATGAGGACGTTTTTTATACAAATTTTATTAATAATTTAGTAAATATTTTTGTTTGATTTACTGCATATTTTCACAAATGCTCTTTTATTTTCTGCTCTAAATTTTTGTCTCTTCCGCATTCGTTCAATAAATTTTAACTGATTATCTCTTTAAATTATTTTTAATGGAAAATTAATGCGTTTTCAAAAATAATATTTGTCAATTTTAAAATAGTAATTATGAAGAAATCTCTGGGAACAAAAATTTGTCATGTCTAAATTAGCAGTTACATTTATTCAATGAGCAAATGGCAAGTGATTATATGAAGTTGAATATGCCAAAAAGGCCACTAAAACGAATTTTAATAATTGAAAATTTGAATCAAATTAAAAGCGTACACTTTGTCAATTTATTTTCCGACTGCCACACTAATAAGCCATAACTTACCAAGATCTCACAATTAATTGAAGCTCTCAGGATTAGCTAAGCCACCGGAGAGCTATGGTGGTAACTGAAGTATTTTTAGAACGTGATAACTTGAGCTCATTGCGATGTCACAGAGCTTGGCCATAGAAATACAATGGCGGGTTTGTTAGACCAGGTGGGGACTATTGCGTGGCAGTGAGGAGGGGCGGTCTGTGAACTCAGACAGAGCTGGATTCCAAAGCATCACCTTACTCAGCCCATGGCCCATAAGGATTATTCTGGTCAAGAATTAAAGAAAACTAATTTATGTTATTTTCATATTTTCATCGTTTAACTATTTAAGAATATGTCTACGAGAAGATTTTTCAAAATTCAAATTATTTTCGGAGAAATAAGTATTTTGCATGGAGGCATCCACACCGGCTGGACTGCAACTAATCGAACAATAGACATAATGAGTTCTCCGACTACCTGAATCTGTATTTCTAAGTAGGCACTTTTGTTCCTTTATATATATATATATATATATATAT